GGATGATGTGTTAGTAACTGGATCTTCATGGGAAGAGGCCAACGCAAACTTGATTCTAGTCCTGACTAGACTTCAAAATGTTGGACTTCGACTAAAACAGGAGTGTTTTCATGCAAGAGTCATGTGTCTATCTGGGGCATAAACTAGATGCAGAAGGAATACATCCGACTCAAGAAAAAGTAAACGCACTGGCAGAGGCATCGGTTCCAATGAACGCATCCGAGCTGAAAAGCTACTTAGGTATGATAAATTATTATCATCGATTCTTACAGAACCTGAGCATGGTTCTGGCGCCTCTCAACAATCTGCTTCGTAAGGAAGTTCAATGGATGTGGGGTCCAAATCAGCAGGAAGCTTTCGAAATGTCAAAGAAAATGTTGCAATCATCACAAGTCATTGTGCATTATAACCCAACGTCGCCACTGATACTCTGAACGATGCATCACCTTAGGGGTAGGCGCAGTGCTATCGCATCGCATGCCAGATGGAGCTGAAAAGCCGGTGGCATTTGCCTCACGGTCTCTGTCGAAGGCGGAAAAAAATTATGCACAACTGGAGAGAGAAGGACTATCTATTATTTTTGGAATTACCAAGTTCCACAAGTACATTTATGGTAGGGATTTCATGATCCAGACAGACCATAAGCCGTTGCTGGGACTACTCAAGGAACATCGAATTGTTTGCCCTATGGCAAGTGCACGGATTCAACGTTGGGCACTGAAACTGGCAAACTATAGCTACACTTTGCAGTATAGGCCGGAGCTCAGAATGGTAACGCCGATGGTCTTAGCAGACTACCATTGGCAACATCACCGACTACCGTTCCTGTACCAGAGGAAGTAGTGTTTGCGATGGCTTTGTTGGACGGCACCCCAGTGACAGCATCACTAGTGGCTAAATGGACGGCTGGAGACCCAGTGTTATCAGCCGTCGTCATGTTTATACTTCAAGATTGGCCTTCTCAAGCAGGAAAGAAATATAGACCTTTTCATCGCCGGAAGAATGAACTATCTGTGCAGAAAGGCTGTGTAATTTGGGGCTCAAGAGTAATAATTCTAGTTCAGGGTCGGGAAAGACTCTTAGCAGAATTGCATGACAGTCATCATGGAATGGTGCGAATAAAGGCCCTCGCACGTAGCTACTTATGGTGGCCTGGGCTAGAACTAGACATTGAAACCACAGTTCGAGGATGCTCTGTTTGTCAACAGAATGGTACAGTACCGCCAAGGGCAAGTCTGCACCCATGGGAATGCCCAGGAAAGCCTTGGTACCGGATACACATAGATTATGCCGGACCATCTGAACAGCAAGTACATTGGTGCTCATATCATGTCATCTAGTACCACTTCAGCCACGTTAATTAAGTTACGTCGAACTTTTGCAACACATTTCGTACCATGTAACTTGGTATCAGATAATGGTACCTCCTTCACCAGCCAAGAGTTCCAGACTTTTTGCAAACAGAATGGAATCAAGCATACTCGCAGCTCACCGTATCACCCAGCAAGCAACGGGTTGGCTGAGCAAGTTGTGCAAACGGTGAAAGAAGGATTAACAAAGACTCAAATTGGCGACTTGGAATCAAGGTTATACAGATTCCTAGCGCAGTATAGACTCACATTACAGACTACGACTGGACAGTCACCTGCAGAACTGCTTATGAAAAGACGTCCAAGGTCTCGTCTTGACCTTGTCTACCCTAGTATGGAGAACGACGTACTAACTAAACAGGCGAAAGCAGTAGCACAACGAGAAACAGCTAACGAGCGATTATTCTATGAGGGAGATGCTGTATGGGTTGTGAACTTTGCTGGAAAGCCCATGTGGCTACCAGGGGTACTTCATCACAAGTTAGGTCCTGTCTCCTTTAATGTACATATGGAGGATGGTCGAGAATGGCGTCGGCACATCGACCATATTCGCAAACGTTTTCCAGATGAAAATTCTGGTAAACCATCTTGTGTCACGGAGCCAACTACAGCGGACGTTGGTAAACCGTCTTGTGTAATGACGCCAATGGCAATCGACGTACCGGTTGAAAAATCACCACACCATTCAGGGAACCAGCCAACTGATTCTCGTAATATGCCAGATCACAGCTGCAACAAAGGCATCGAACCAAAAACCATGACAGCTGGAGGGAAAGTGGTAGAACTTCGCAGATCAGGCAGAATTCGTAAAGCACCGAACAGAATGAATTTGTGAACTTTCTATTTGCATGTTATCATGGTTTATGATGAACTTTGAACATTATTTGGAACTTATAATCGCACAAGTTATGAGTTGTTTTTTATACACTGGACTTATAGGTCTAAATGCTTTGTGTTTAAAGTCATTTGTTGAATTAATGTGTTCTCTAAATCACCTGCCAAATTGATTTTAACTAATGGATAGATAATGATATGACATGCCTCTATAAATACAGTAATTCTCGTTGACTTTAAGTCTCCATTGACAAGGAATGTTATTGTTGTTAAATAAAACCTCCGGGTTACGATGTTCTAAACTTAAGGTGGAGGAATGTACTGGATCTGTTCTGAACATGCTTTTATCTGATAACTTTGGATGTTGTTGCTATGTATTCACGATAATAGTTGTTGATTCAATAAAAGTACAATACAACTTTGAATTAGTTTTCGGGTTCTTTATTGGCAATACATCACAGTTTGAGTAGGGCTTGAATTGTAGAATAAGTTCTGTATTTAAGGTAGTTCAGTATTTTAGTAAATTTGTTTGTAAATGAATCTGTAATCAAAGCTTGGAACTGTTTATATCATGACCCAATATTTAGGATGTATACCTCTGATATATTTATATGTATACATATGGGTTTTGTAATAGAATTCTGGAATCATATCTACTATTATAATTTAGACTGACATGTTTTGATGCTTATCTCATTATTTTTATGTAAGAAGCTGTAACAGAAATTATTTGATTATGTTATAATTTGAATTCAGCTATATGATATTTTATATTTTGTTACAGAATAACACAGTAGTCTAAAATAGGAAGGGGGATGTAATGGAGTACTGTATTCCATATCTGAGTTATATGTCAATTTAAGCTACTATTGATATTATTATTATTATTATTATTGTCGAATTTATTCTACAAAGTTGATTACAATTAATTATAATTCTGGTATGTCACTTGAGGAAGTGTAATGTTAATGTTGATAACTGTACTGTTAATTTATTTGTGTAATACTTAAGGAAGTGTTATGTTAATGTTACTATACAATTGATTTATTTGGGAGATTATACTAGCTTGCTTGTGATTGGCTATGCTGTGTCTCTGTAAGTAAATTATTGATATTATGATTGGTTCATGAGATCATGTGAATATAGGACTGTTAGTGATTGGCTCACATACTAAAGATTGTTTTGTATAATATGTGAGAGAAATTTAAATTTAGTTAAGTTTGGTACAGCTCTTCAAGACTAAAGTTTGTCTTACTTTTAATATAGGAATTAGCAATGGGGGTAGTGGATAATGTGCCAAGTTGGGGAGGGGGCGTGGTTTGATCTATTTTGAAAGGTGAGGGGAAGTTCATGAGCCCATACCCACCTCAGGCCAACCATGGTTGGGCCTGAGGAGCGAAACTGTTAGGAAATATTACCTGTAGATGACCGGAAATGACACTTTTATATAGTAAAATTCATCATTACATCACTATATAGTCAAAATGAACCACTAACAAATTTCTCATGATGTTTGGATATTGCTAAACCCCGCATACCCTGCAAACATAAAAAAAAAACAAAAAAAAAACAAAAAAAACACCGCAAACCCCATTCAAACCCTGTGATAATGATTGAATCACATAGTATAAGACCCAATTTGGTATCTCTATAAAACAAAATCTTAATTTTATGTTCGTTACAACCTATTTTGGGGGTAAAAAAGCCAGTGCAAACCCCACCCAAACCATGTGATAGTGATTGAATCATGTAGTATAGGACTCAATTGGTATCTCAGTAAAACAAAAATTATAATGTTCCATTCGTAACAACCTACTTTTTGGGTAAAAATGCCATTTTTTGTATAAAAAAATTGCTAAACCCCGCAAACCTCCAAAAACACAGTGCAAACCCACCCAAACCCTGTGATAATGATTGAATCACATAGTAAAGGACTCAATTTGGTATCACAATAAAAAAATTCGTAATTTTATGTTCGTCACAACCTATTTTTGGGGTAAAAATGCCATTTTTTGTATAAAAAATTGCTAAACCCCCGCAAACCCCCCAAATCACAGTGCAAACTCCATCAAAAGGACTCACTTGGTATCTCAATCAAAAAAAAAATCATAATATATGTTCATCACAACCTATTTTTGGGGTAAAATCCTGATTTTTGTTGGTTAAAAAACTCAAAAAAATTGCCTTTTTACCCCCAATATAGATTGTGATGAACATAAAATTATTATTATTATTTTTTTAATTTTTTTTACAAATTGAGTCCTATACTGCATGATCCAATCACTATCACAGGGTTTGGATGGGGTTTGCGGTGTTTTTTTTTTTTTTTTTTTTGGAGCTTTGCGGGGTTTAGCAATTCTCTGATGTTTTACCAGCGATTTTCGGCAACCAAAGATTTCTAATTAATATGTGTGATGTACTATAGAAAGTAAATATTAAAAACATTGTCTTTAATGTATTTAATTTAGGCCTACCTACTTCAAAGCCATTAGTCCACACCACAGTTAAGGGCTGAGGTGGGAACATTTTAGGAAATAGTACGGTACTTCTAGATTTCTAGAAATGGCACTCTTATTATGATAAAATTCATCATCATCGATCAAATTAATAGTTGTGATGTTCCATTGAAATATACATGAGAAGCACCAACTGGTATTGTCTCCTCTTTTTCTCAATTTAATAATTTGCATTTTACGGCAAAATGAACAAGTTAACTTCAAGTGTTTATTTAATTATATTATTTTCATTTTGAGGCAATAGTACATGTTCAAATTTAATTTAAAAGTAAATACATACATTTCTTTTATCTGTTTCGGAAACTTGGGTAATTTAGTCAGATCATTGTTTTCCAGGAATCTAAAAATGAAAAAGAAGTATAAATAATCACAACTTTAATCAAGGCTCTGTGTATTGTTTCTCTTTACCACATAGTATACATAGTTGAAAGCTGAATAAGCATGGTCAGAATGAAAACAACAGGTTAGTATCCGGAAAAGCGCTATAATATAAGCAGAAAATAATCAATTAAAAAATAAAAAAGAGGGACTACTCTTAACAAGATGTTATCTTGAAGTGTATCAACAGTCAACTTTTGTAGGACAATAATAATAGTGGATATTTATAAGGCAACTACATTATATAGTTAGTTATGCAGTGATGTTTGGTTTTCTGCTTATAGCCTGTTCACAGCATAAAAATAGATTTTTTGGTTAGAATAGTTTGGTTTTTATTATTTTTATCTTCTTCTTAAACCAATTGAGACTTCGGTTTAATGCGCTATATTAGGACCCACTACATTCCATTACATTAATTAGACTGACTGGCCATAGTGCACAAACCGAAAAAAGGTGATTTTTCGTATTAACAAGCAGCCAAACTTTAGGCAATTATGAGAAAACGCACATTCCATGAGGTCGGCTAGTTGAAGCCGGACTAGTGTAGGGCTAAAACATAATTACACTGTATTTTTTCTAAATTTCCGCAGGCATAGTGACACTCTTCTTGCAGTACAATGGCGGATACAGGAGGTGGGGTTCAAGGGGTTCGCAAGAACCCCCCTCTGTGAAGAAACGTAACAAAATACTATTGGGTCCTGGCTTACAAAAGACATGCTAACCACATAGTTACCAACCGTCTCGCATCGTGCGGGACGGTCTCGCATTTTAAAGTGATTTTGGATGTAACACGCATTTGAAAGAAACAAATGTGATCTTAAATTTGTCACGCATTTAGTCTACGCATGACGACGAATAATCACGAATTCACGGAAAATATATTTAAAATTAGAAGAGATTAGTTTCATTAAAAATATAAAACAATCATCCAGTAACTTAAGTCATTTGAGAGCTTTCGTTATCTCATTTGAGATTCAATTCACTGAAAGCTTTGGCGGCGCGTGCGGTCTTGCGCCTTCATTGTCACAACCAATGTTGATTATGTGACTGAAACTGCAGTTGTCATCAAACACACAGTCAGGTAAGTACAGTATTTAGTACGGCAGCTTAAGGCCATATTTGGACTTAATGTGGACGTTCCGGACAAAAGCATCACTTTTTTTACATGCTCCTTATGGTCATAGCATTCAATTTTTGGTAGGAACCACCTCATCCGAGGTCATTATGGCGGCCATCTTGGATTTCAAAATGGTAGCCTTATAAAACTTATGTTTATCTATATCTCCGCTCCTAATCACTTTGAATTATAATTCTAATGTCTAAGAGTATGTTTATATGTTCGAGGAATACCATCATACTGTATCATATCTGACCTGGTCAAATTGCCACAAATGGGTCATTTAAGGTTATTCAAGGTCAAATATTGTATGGTATCTTTAAAAGTACGTAGTTGTCAAATTTTACATTAGAATCATACCCACGATCTCAGAATTCAAAAATGTTTACTATGAACTACAATATTTCATTTGAGGTCATTCTGGCGGCCATCTTGAATTTCAAAATGGTTGCCACGCAAAACATATATTTAGCAATATATCGACTTTTAAACTACTTCCAATAAGAATTATGATGTATAAAAATATATTTTCATAGTCACTGATTTATAGCACTTGTGGCATGGTCAGATGGTCATTTAAGGTCATTCAATTTTTATTTTTCTGTTAAATACGTAGACAATCTTAATAGATTGTAAGTGGTCGTGTTTTACAGCAAAATCATATATAAGCTCACAAAATTCAATTTTTGATAGGAACTATTTCATCAGAGATCATTATGACAGCCATTTTAGGTCAAGGTCATTTATCAGCCATATTAAATTTCAAGGTGACCGCCATGTAAAAAGGTTTTGTTCTTTTAAATATGTTTACTGCAGTACTGCATAGTCAAAGAATAACATCAAAAGTAGTGACATGTATTTGTATTTATTATATTCCATTATATATTGGAAAAAGTCTGACATCAGATATTGTATTTAATGTGAAATGATAAATTGATATCAAAAAGAATTGTATAATATATATATATATATATTATATATATTATATATATATATGTATTGTGTGTTTGTTGGGGTGTGGAGGTGTATATGTATGTATATATGTGTATATGTATGATGATATTACTTTCATGAAATTTAAATAATATTTTGTATTTAATATATTCAAAATCTCATAATTTAATTAATTTAATTTTTTACAGGATTTCTTATTGTATACCGTGGTACAGTAAGTGTTTATTTAAATTAAGAATGATGAAAAAACTATGAGTTACCCCCACAAAAGGTTAAAAAAAAGTGGTGACATGGTCAGATAATTATGGTAATAAAAAGTCATTTAAGATCAATATTGTATAATATCTTAATAATACATCTTCTTGGATTGTTATTAAATAATCAGAACAGTGGCAAGATTCTATGAAATACCTATATATGTATATAAGTATGCAGACTATGTTATATATAAATTAAAATACTTTGCTGTGTAGTAGTATATAGATACAATACTAGTTAAAAGAATACTAATAATGTTGTAATATATAAATATGTATCTCGACCACAGGTGGTTGAGTTGGTAAGACCTTCGCACGTTAAGAAAAAGGTGCTGAGTTTCGAGTCCTGGTGGAAGCAAGGTTTCCTTTTCATTCTGATCAGATTTACCACTTCAGTTGCATTTAAATTGTAAATAATTATTTACAAAATGGGTTTATCCTATTGGTCTATTAAATTAAATAACTATTATTATTGTTTTTTATTGTTTGTTATTTTATTATATATGCGCCTAAATATAATGTCCTGTAGAGGTTCAGCTCTCATAGTCAGCTAATTGAAAATTTATTTAAATATCGTTCATCCGTCATAAAATATATATATTATAATGTCCACTGAATATATATATATATATATATATACATATATATATAGAACTGGAGGTCGCTGGAACAGAATGTTGCTACTCGGAGTTTCACGCTATTGCGATCGTCAGGCAACTGATGAAAGGTGAACG